CCGGTCAGTGCACATGCCTTGGTTATGGGTTTGATCCCCAGTGTGGGGCGTGCAGGAGGCAGTCAGTCAATGATTCTCATCATTGATGTTTCTATCTCCCTCCCTCTCTGAAATAAATGTATAATAATAAAAGGGTAAGAAACTAATTAGAACAAAAAACTTCCAGACAACTTTCCAGATGTCCTTCCTGACGAAGCTGTGGTGGCGGGACTGAGGCAGAGGTGGTTAGGGGCAATCAGGCAGACAGACAGATGCAGTTAGGGGTAATCAGGTAGGCAGGCAAGTGGTTAGGGGCGATCAGGCAGGCAGGTGAGTGGTTAGGAGCCAGCAGTTCTGGATTGCGAGAGGGTGCAGGCTAGGCTGAGAGACCCACCTCCCACCCCCTCACCCCTGTGCACAAATTTCATGCACTGGGTCTCTAGTTAGATAATAAAAGCACAACTCTCACCATGTTAGGTCTGATCCTTTTACAAACAATCACACACACATTAAAAGAGGTCCCTGTACTGAGGACCCTCTGCTGTGTATATAACAACATTCCTCTGGCTAGAGGGTGGCCCCTGGTCCCCCGACCCCCTAATTTTGAGTCTCAATTTACAATGTAGGACGAGCTTTTCTGTTTTTGTTTATTGCTTCTTTTATTCTTCACAACAGCTCTCAAGGGTTGACAAGAGAGCTGTTGAATTTCTCAGGACTGACAGGATCTTCTAATGTGAAATGTATATAGAAGAGACAGACTCAAACAAGAAAGAAAATAAATGCACAGTACTTTCAGAAAAAAATAAGAAAAGAACATAGAGTTATATGAGATACATAACTGGAATTCTATAAGGAGAGGAGACTCTGAAAACAGTCCCAGCAGGGCAAGGGGACAGTGGGTGATGGTGAGGTGAGGTGAGGTGAGGTGAGGTGAGGTGGGTATTGTAGCTGGGATGGTGACATTTGAGCTGAAAACTAAATGACAAAAGTCAGCCAGGAGAAGGAAGAAGTGAAATGTATCTCAGAGAGAAAAAACAACTGTAAAGGCCCTAATATAGAAAGAGGCTAGGTCTGACTAAGGAATATCAAAAAGTCTAGTGTGGCTGAAACACGATAAGTAAGAAAGAGAACAGAATGAAACACGACTGAAGAGACAGGCAGGCGGGGCCTGTGGGCCATAGGCAGCTAGCTGAGCAGTACTCATCAAGCATTCCTTTCGCCTCCTCACATCTGCATTTTGGACAAAGCACAAAGTTGATTACTGAGTGTGCCCACGTGAGCAGCTCTAGCCAATGGACTGTGGCCAGAAGTGATCTGTATAATTTCTGGGCTAAAGCATCAAAGAGCTAGCACAGAAATATCAAGATGTTTCTTTTTTCAGATGACAGAACAGAAAGTCAAAGTAAGTTGAATTATTGAGTTGAAACATGGACTCTGTTGCCCCAAGTCATGCAGGAATAATAAGAGAGAAATAAACCTCCATGCTGTTAAGTCATAATAAGGTTACCCTGGCTAATATCACATGGTAAGAAGTTGGGATTTATTCTAAATGTAATAGGAAGTCATTTGAAAATTGGAGCAATAGAATTATGAGATCATATACATATTTAAATGACCACTTTGCTGTGTGTGGAATAGATTATGGGGAGGAGGGACAGGAAAAAACCAGGAGACCTGTTATAAGGCTATTCAAGTTAGTTTAGGTTTGAAATAACAGTGGCTTGAAATTAGTGGTGGCAGTGGAGGTAGTGAATTGAATTCAGGATATATTTCAAAGACAAAAGTAACAAGACTGATGGAAAGACTCCAAGGTTTTGGGCATGGGCAACTGAGTGAAGAAACATACAGAGAGAGTAGACAGTAGGTGGGCAGGATGAGAATCAAGAGTTATAAAACTGTTTTGGTTTAAAGCTCTCTTGCAGAGAATAGGAAAAAAGGAAAGAGTACTTCCCAGCTCCTTTTATAATGTCAGCATAACCTTGATATTAAAGTCTGACAATATTACAAGCTACATAAATGCAAAAATCCCAAACAAAACATTTGCAAATCAAGTTCAGAAACACATAAAGAGGAAAATGCATCATAATAAAATTGGATTTGTTCCAGGGATGCAAGTTTGTTTTTAACATTTGCATATCCATTAATATAATTCATCAACAGAATAAATGAAAAAAATAATCTCTATAAATGCAGATAATCATGTGATAAAATTTAATACTCATTCATGATCTTAAAAAATTCTTTTAGCAAATTATGAATAGAACCTCTTTAACCTGATAGAGGTATCATAAAAACCTAACAGCACACATCATACTTAATGGTGAAATATTTCCTTAAGGGCAGGTATGAGAGAAGAATGTCTTCACCATCCCTTTTAGTCATCCCTATACTGAAGGTCCTACCCAGTATAACAAGGAACCAAAAAATAAAAATAAAAATAAAAAATAAGGAGGAGAATTAAGGTATGCATAGGTCAGGAATGAAGAAATAAAACTATCATTATTTACAGATGACAACTGAATCTATGGAAAATTCTGAAGACTATGGATTAATGATTAGAATTGATAAATGACTTTATCAAGATCACTGGATGGAAGCTAAAGATACAAAAATCAATTCTATTTCTGCACACCAGCAATAAAAAATTAGAAAGTAAAAAAATATTAAATGATAACACATAATAGCATCAAAGTAATCAAATACCTAGAAGTAAATCTAACAAAAGCTGTGCAAGGATCTCTACATAGAAATCTACAAAACACTATTGAGAGAGAGAAAAACAAAGAAGACCAAAAGAAGTGAAGTGCTTTACTATATTCATGGATTAAAAATCAATATTATAAATATATCAATTATTTACCAACCTGATTCACAATATGCATGTAATTCTAATAAAAATTCCAGCAGAGTTTATAATTGTGTGGAGTTAACAAGCTGATGGAAATACAAAGGGAAAGGCTAAGAATAACAAAGACTTGAAGAACGAAGTTTGAGGATCACCAGATATCAAAACTTATTGTAAATCTTCAATAATTACAAGAGGTGGTATTGTCAACGGATGGAAAATAGACTAATGGAACAGAATCAAAGATCCAGAAATAGACCTTCAGGTATATGGCAAAGGGGCACTGATTACTAGTGGGGAGAAGATAATTAGCTCAGTAATAGTGCTCAGTCTATTGGATATCCTCTGGAAAATAACAACTTTGATCCATATGTCATAGATACACAGATATCAAATTCAGGTTGATTGTAGATCTGTGAAATGTAAAACAACAAAACATCTAGAAAGTAACATAGAATATCTTTAGGGGAGGAAAAGATTTCTTAATCATGACACAGAATACACTGGGATAGAGAAAAAAGAATGATAAATTGCTACATTGAAATTAATAATTCATATTCATCAAAAGACACCATTTAGAGAAAAAAAGAGTCATAAAGTGGGTGAATATATTTGAATATATAAACAACAAAGAACTCTTAGCCTGAATATATACATATCCTCACTCGAGGATATATTCCCATTGATTTTTAGAGAGAGTGAAAGAGAAAGGGATAGAGAGAGAGAAATATCCATGTGAGAGAAACACATCGATTGGTTTGATTGGTTGTTTCCTGCATGCATCTTGACTGGAATTGAACCTGGGATTCCTTTGGCCCGCAGGCTGATGCTCTATCCACTGAGCCAAACTGGCTAGGACTTAACTTGAAGCATACAAACAAATAGAGAAATGGACAAGAACTAGACCAGACACTTCACAATAGAGAATATGTGTATGGATAATAAAAACCCAAAGAGGTGCTCAACCTCATTATTCTTCAGGGAAATGAAAATTAAAATCACATGATATGCTGCTACACACACCCACGTGGCTAAAAAGAATTTAAATGAAAATACCAACTATTGGGAAGGACGAAAAACAACTAGAACTCTTATACACTGCTTGTGTGAATATTAACTGGCATAATCTCTTAGGAAAACTGACAATGTTTACTACACTACAGTTGAACATATGCCTTGGTAATTCCAGTCCTAGATACATACCTAAGAAATATATGCATATGTGTACTAAAAGATATGAGCAAGCATGTTTAAAACAGCACTACTGCTATTATAAACTAAATGCCCCAAGTTAAAATTTACCCAAAGTTCATCAGTGGTAGAATGGATAAGTTGCGGTATGTTCATACAACATATACTCATAAAGCAACAAAAGTGAGCAAGCTATCAACAGAGCAAGATGTCCAAGGATCTCCAGCTGTTCCAGCTGTTTGAGTCTTTCCAGACTAGGCCCCAAACATATGATGGAGAAGCCTTTGAGATGGTTCTAACCCTAGCCACTATCTGAATGCAACAGCATGAGAAACCTTGAGTGGGAGCAGCCCACCCGAGTCCATTCAAGCCCCACATTCAAATTATTGTGACTATTTTAAGTCCCTGTTTTAGGGATGAATGTACACAGCAATAGGTAACTGGAGTCTAGGTTGAAGTACTTAGGGGGGGAAATTAAACAGAATACATTAAATCTATAAATCCACTTTAAAATGTTTAAGGAAACAACTGAATTTGTAAAAAATCCCTCTTAAAAATGATTGTTTAATACTATGGTCATAAATAGAACAATAGATTTGTAAATTGAATTTAAAATCTTAAGAGAAAACTAAGTTTTAAAATTTCTACTTCCGCACATTGAATTTTAATTAAAAAACAAACCAACATCACAGTGAGAACTTCTTGGATAGCTGACTTTTCACTGAGCTTTTCAGAAAGTTAAAAGAAACAACACAGGGAAAGGAGCTGAGTGATTTATTGAGTGCTTCCGAGGTGCCATGTCATGTCCTGGGTGCTTTGCCCGAGTCAACTCTGGATCCTCACAACAACCCTGTGAGGCGGGTTTATCGTCCCCACTTTGCAGATGAGTCTCCGAGAGGCTATGGAGCTCGGCCAAGGTTCTGCCGTTAGTACAGGATGGACCCTGTGCCTTTTGCCCTCGAAGATGCCTTCTGCTGGCAGGAGAGCTGGTGGAGGTGAAATGGTCACCCAGGGCCCTGGTGTAGCTGTCGTGCTGGCATCTTGCCTGCGAGCCTTCCAGGGGAGGAAAGGGTGTGATCGCGGCCCTGTGAAGACGAACATGGCCAGAGAAAAGCATGGTCCAGGGATCCTTAAAGTTCAGGAGTGTGGATCGGAGCCAAGGGGGCTTGTCCCCTGGACATAACTTGGGAGTAGCTCTGGAGAGGAATTCTAGAAGCTGTGGAAAGAAAAAGAGGAAGGATTTCAGCACTATGGCTCCCGATAGCTTGCCTAACTTCATAGGGTTCTTTTACCCCTTTTTTTTTTAACCTCTAGAAATTCCCAATGTTTTAACTGTACCCTGTTGGGGAGCACATGAGACTTGGTTGGAAAGTTGTAAGGAGGACATTCTAAGAAAAGGGAAGTGTGTGGAAGGCCACCTGCCCTGTTTATCGGAATTCTGACTTAGGGGAGTGTCCAAAGCAGCGCCCCTAATTATTCCTCGACCTTTCCAAACAAGTCTGTGCACATGCAGACCCCCGGGTGTTTACTGGAATCCTATGCTTAAGCCCTGGATGCCCTTGCCTAGAGGATAATGCAAACACATGTGTCCTCTCCCAAGATTACTCACCCTGCTGATTGTATATAAAGATAAAAATACCAATAAAAGCCTAGAGGCAGGCAATTGAGGCTGCCTGGCAGCTATCAGCCGGGCCATCTCTTATCCCTGTCTTTCACAGGAAACTGTGGCGGAGTAATCTGTTCATCCATCATTCAGATAATGCAAACACGTGTGTCCTCTCTTAAGATTCTCACCCTGCTGCCCTGGCCGGTTTGGCTCACTGGATGGAGCGTCGGCCTGGGGACTGAGGAGTCCCGGGTTCGATTCCGGTCAAGGGCGTGTGCCTTGGTTGCGGGCGCGTCCCCAGTGGGGGGTGTGCAGGAGGCAGTTGATCGATGCTTCTCTCTCATTGATGTTTCTAACTCTCTATCCCTCTCCCTTCCTCTCTGTAAAAAATCAATAAAATATGTATTTAAAAAAAAAAAGATTCTCACCCTGCTGATTGTATATAAAGATAAAAATATCAACAAAAGCCTAAGGAGACAGGCAACTGAGGCTGCCTGGCTGCTATCAGCCGGGCCATCTCCTTTACAGGAAATTGTGGCGGAGTAATCTGTTCATCCGTGGGTCAGCCCGCCAAGGTGGTGCCCGCGTGAGGAGCCCCGGCAGTGGCCAATGCCTACCATATAAGGGCAGTTGTATCTTTGAATAATTTCATTCTAGAAAGAATATTAGGGTGAGTCAGGTTTGAAGTTATATAGTTTGATCCTCTCAATTTATAAGCGAAGAGACCAAGAGATCAACTTCTGTTGCCTCCTATGAAGAAGTTCTAGAACTGTACTTCCTAACACTAGCGAATGAGCTTTAAAAAATGCTGTGGAGAAAAATGGGGAGTTTTGTAAGCCCTCTGTCTTATTTTCACAGAGAGAGGGGTAGGCGTGAGGCCTGTGAAATGTAAGTGGAAGAAGAACCTGGGAATGAGCACCAGCTGCAGGCTGCTGGGCCCCAGAAGGCAGGGAGGGAACTGCTGCTCTGACTGGACACAGAGCCGCGGCAGGTAGAGTGACCCTCCCTCCTACAGACCCAGAACCTGAGATCCCAGGCCATCACCTGTCATGTCGCCTTCAAAGGCAAGTTTTCTGCCCAGGTTCTGGGGGGAAAGTGCTGTTTAACAACACTGACAGCTACCGAAACACCTTGCAGCCACTTCAGAGGGCAGGAGCCTGAAAGCAGGGTGGTGGTGGTCTGCCTCCTCCTGAGCAAATAAGGAAAACAGATGATGTCTGGCCATCACTTAGTTATTCAGGGGCTGAGAGCTAGTGTGAGTTTTCTCTGGGCCTCCATGCTTTTGCTGCTCCTTTTGTTGTCAGGGGATTCTGCTAATTGCCACCTTCCCTGAAAAGCCAGACTGCAGTAAATAAAAGGGGAAAGTCATGTAAGTCTGACAGAGAGCAAGAGAGACAGAGACAGAAAGAAAGCTTGCCAGATAATTCTACTCACATAAAAATGCCTTATACATTAAACTAGTGCTTTCCAACTGACAAACTGCCTTTATATATTTTATCTCAATTACTCCTCGCACACAGCAACCTGGTAAGGTAGACAGAGGCTACCTGTCTACCTATTAGTAAGTGTTAGTTATCTCTTAGATTACTGGTTACCCCTGTATACTAGATCCTCAGTAAACGTTTGTTGAATTGGTTCTTTGGCCCTTGGTATGCTGTCTTGGGCTCTGTCCCGAAGCACTCTTTCCCAATATACAATCTCCATATTGCAATCTCTTTCTCATTTGTTTATTTATTTAAATAAGAGAGAGAAAGGAGACAATATATAGTTTTTACTTTCCAACCACAGAGCTTTGAGAACAACTTGAACACAAAATCAGCCAAACTTCAGATTGCTTTTAGTGAATTAATGATAATGAATTCATTATTTGACTTAACTGACCACTTCACACGGATGTGTTTATTGAGCATCTCCTATAGCTAAGACACCAAACGGAACACTGTGAGAGTGTCCGTGGAATTAGATGGGAAAGTTCTAGTGATCACATGGGGCCTGCTGTAAGACCCTGCGTAGATACACTACCCAGCAGCACTGCTTTGCCTGTTAAAAGAAGTAGCGCCCATTTGTGTTCAATTCTGGGCACCTCAAGCCTAAAAAATGTACTCCCTTCAAAAAGAGCTGCAGTGGAAGCTCCGTGTTCAGCTGTAAACACTTGGACTGGTGTGAGGGACCAGCACGGTGTCAGTGTGGCGAAGCTGTGTCCCTCTCAACTGTGCAGAATGCAGCCAGCCTCCTGCCTCTTATGGAAGGGCTGTGCCGGGGTGAATAGCAACGAGCTTACAGTTTTGGTAACCGAAGAGCCAGGGAGGAGCTGGTGCATCGTGCCCTGCTTTAAAAGGAAACAACAGCAAACGGCTACCAGTCACAAGAGACTATGCTTATTCACTACAGCAGCCACTCTTGAAGGAGTTTAATGGCAAACAAATGAAACCAAACATCCAAAACACAATTCCAAAAGGGGGTCTCCAGTTTAAACTATCCCATTATCACGGGCTACACTGAAAGGGGTCTGAGATTTGGCCAATTCGATCATGTTTTCAAGTTGTTCTGAAGACGCTGCGGTTTGGAAGGAAACGATATGATTTTTCCTTTCTCTCTATTGCTTAAACAAACATTGAAAAACCTACTCTCTTTATACTGCAAATACCAGTACTTTAGAGAGTGGGTTATAGTGGCAATTTTCTCATCTTGAGCTTCAGAAATGGCTGCATTAGGAAGGAGGCATTTCCCAGGAGAGTATTAGCGGGGGCGGACCTCAGAGACGGAACTGTGACCTTTCACGTGGAACATCTGCACCGTCACACAGCGTAGGTGACAGGCTCCTCACAGCTCAAATGGAGAGAACTCTGAATCAAGTCGGACCCACCACCCAGCAGGGATGAAGACCATCTTAAGACATAAGAGAGATTATAGTGAAAGATAGCAGAGTTCTTGCTAAAAGACACTCCTGTGTCTTGGGCTTGTGTCTATTATCCTCTTGACTGGCTTCCCCTCTCCTCTTCTGAGCAACTCACTCTTTGCCTTCTCTCATAAAAGAAAGTAGTTAGGTGTTTTCACACCTTCCCTTAAGGGTCTCTCTCTTTTTCTCTCTCTCTTTCTTCCTTTATATCTTCCTTGCTTTCTTTTTTCAGAGGGAGAGAGACATTGATGTGAGAACAAACATCTGTTGGTTGCTCCTGCATTCCCCCTACCTGGGATCCCAGGCTTATGACCTGACTGGGAATTGAGCTGGCAGCCTTTCGGTGCACAGGATGATGCCCAACAATTACACCACACCGGCCAGTGCTTAAGTGGTTTTCTTTACAGGCAGAGGGAGAAGTGCTGATCTTGAAAGAGTCAGGATAAAAAACTACAGTGGGCGTTGGCCGGGTTGGTTCAGTGGATAGCGCATCAGTCCTCAAACTGAAGAGTCCTGGGTTCGATTCCGGTTAAGGGCATGTATCTGAGTTGTAGGCTTGCTCCCCACCTCCTCAAAATCCTCCAGCACCAGGCTGGTGGAGTCCTCACCCAGGCCGTCCCTGTCAGGCCGGGACATCCTGGCCTGGGAAGGCTGTGCTGGAGGGTGGGTGGCAGCTGGAGAGGGAGATCAAGGGGGCACGTATGGGAGGCAACCAATCGATGTGCCTCTCTCACATTGATGTTTCTCTCGCTCTGTTTCTCCCCCACTCTTCCATCCTCTCTAAAAATCAATGGAAATATATCCTCAGGTGAGGATTAACAACAGCAACACTGAAGTTGGGGTTACAGGGTGGTTTAGGAGGAAGAATAGATAGAGCAAGGCAGGAACATGGAGGAAAAGAAGGTCATAGAAAGATAAATACATGAACAATAAAATGGAGAAGATGTAAAGGACAAATATGAAGAGGGGAAACTGAGAAGAAGAAGGAAAGGAAGTTTCTCTTAGTAAGAGCAGCAAACTGAGACAACCAGGACTGAGCAGAAGTCAGAAGGAGGGAAGACAGAGAACAGACAGAGCCAGGAAAAGGGAAGGAAACCTGGAAGAGCATGAGAACAGAGAGCTGCTGGGAGTTCGGAGCGTGTTTCAGGGGGCAGGTGAGTTGGAGAAAGAGAGGGATCCACAGGACACAATCCTTATGCCTGGAGAGGGGCGTGGATGAGCAGGGAGGTGACTGTCAGCACAATGGGAAGGGGGCAAGGAGAGTGGACAAGGCCAATGGAGCAGGTCGACAAGTGATCTTGGGTGCTAGATAGATCCTTGGGATTACCCCAGAGTTAGCTCCATGGGGCTCTGGGGACAGGGCACCACAGGAGAGGATACATTCCAAACTTATACAACCAAACGTTTAACCTCTCTCGCCTCCTTTAGATATATAT